TTAGACAAAACTACAAACTATTACCTTCAAATTGTATGTATAAAAGGCAATGTTGAAAGAGCAATTTAGACCATACGAAAACAATGGTTGCAATACGTAAGATGTGAATACCAACTTAGCTAAACTCTTGTTTGTCTATGTAATTACTACTACCTTTGTCCAATTTTAGTTGTCATAACCATATTATACAATTTACCATGAGAAAGCATTTAGAATAAATCTTGATTGATCATTGACATATTTATGTAATAAGCATTCTAAAACTGCTGATTGTTTTCTGTAATGGTGGGTTTTACATATACAGGTTTACATTTTATTTTATTCTGTAATCTACTTAAATAATGGAAAACATTTGCATATACATGGATTTAATCGTTTTTCTTTAGTTGGATGACTGCAGAGTCTCAATGCCAAAACTGGACTGTTCAGTAAACGGATGAAGATCATTCATCGCGATCCTAAGCTTCAGGCGCAAAGAGTTGCTGCCATTAAGGTCTGAAATTTTAAACTTATAATAACTTTATGGTATCAAATTCAAACATGCATGATCATCATTGTCCTTGACATTTTGAATCATGTACTAAGTCACTAATGTTGATAGCATTGGATATTTTGTTCATCATGGACTAAGCTGTGAAATTAGAATTTTCCTAGAACATGTGTACTTAAAAGTGATGCCTTTTTAACCCTGAAGGAAGCTGAGTTGGACTATTATTCAGAACAATCTAATCCTTTGGCATGTATTTGACATGATCGCAGAAGGCAAAAGGAACTGCTGCAGCAAGGAAACGTGCTTCTGAAGCTTTGAAAGCTTTCTTTAGTGATCCAGAGAACCGTCGCAAGCGGAGCCTTTCTATGAAAGGTCAGCTGACTTGTTTTGTTAGGAGTTTGTCACTGACCACATTTTAGTAAAACTAGCAGCTCATCTTGTTTTACAGTCACATATACAATGTAGCCTTTTACTGATTCATCATTTAGTGGTACATTATCTCTGGTTTGAACCATGTGTGCAGTTTCTGTTTTCTCTAGACTTTTTAAGTTGTTTTATTCCATCAAAGTGGTGGAAAAGTCTGGCATCAGCCTCATATCTTCCTCTAAGTTCCTGGGGGAAGTCTTTCATACAGTTCTATTAGGAATATTGACATTGTGTTGTGTATGCTTTATCATGCAGGAGTTAAATTTTTCTGCAGAAAGTGTGGCCGTGAAGGACATAGAAGACACTACTGCCCAGAACTTAAGGATAGTTCAATAGATAGGCGGTTCAAATGTAGATTGTGTGGGAAGAAGGGCCATAACAGGAGGACTTGTCCCATTTCAGGGTCAAGCAATCACAGAAGCATTGTCAAAAGGTGCCACAGGTGCAAGATTTGCGGTCAAAATGGCCATAATCGCAGGACATGTCCTCAGGTGACAGGAGGGAGAAACATTTTGACTTCCGGAAGTAGAATATACACCTGTCGTTTGTGCAGAGGAAAAGGGCACAACACAAGAACATGTCCTAGAAAAGGTGTAAAGCCTTCAAATATTAACTCTGAAATTGAAGAAGGAAGGCAACAACTTGATGTGCAATAATAATGCTCTGGAACTACTATTGTCATTTGGTCTTTCAATGGCAGGACTTTATAATAGCATTTTTTGGGGTACATTTGATGACTATATATAAGAGGGGATAACCTTTCCCTTTCCTTTTTCCCAAGATCTCTAACTTAGAATCTAAGACTTTTAACCATTGAACCTCTCCTTTAGGCATTAAGACTTTATAATATTGTGTTATACTTGTTTCTGTTCCTGTCTGTCTGTTTCATTTGGCAGTGCTAAACTTTGAACTTAGAGCTCAATTATTCTTGATTCCAATCACTGTCGTTTGTAGGTTGGATCAAACGTAATGACATCACCAAAATACTGGTTAAGGCATTGAGAGTGGGCATTTATCCAAAGTATCAAAAGCCTCAATTTTAATCTCTTAACTAGAATTCTTAATCTCACAAAGAATTTTCTCTTATGTGCCTATAAATTCTTAATAACTTCGAACCTCAATGAAACTCTCATTCTCTAGAATTTGCTAACAACACATAAGTACGAATAATAGAGTTAGGGTTATAGTAAAAATCTTAATCACGCATTTAATTGAAGTTTAAAAGGGAAAAGGAAAATTTGTTCCATAATCAATCTCAATGAAAACGGAATTGAATCTTGGGTTTGGGTGGCTTAATGTCCTGCAACCTCGCCAATGGTGTCGAAACATTAATAGCCACTTCCCTACATTTTTTTCTTCTCTCTTAAAAACTTCAACTTGCACTTGAAAATTCAAGGCAATCCCAATACTTATCTCAAATGGGAAGAATGTCACTCTATTCCATTCAATTTCCCAGCACTTCTTGAACATTTTGGAGGATGAGCTTTCCGGTTAAGAGCCGTCCGACGTCCCATCCATCAGCATCGACCGCCCCACTGAATATTACGGTTATTTGGACGTCAACAACGGTATGCATCCTTGTTCTTTATCCCACGCCAGAGCCTCTGTAATTTCAAGATTCACCCAATTTCTTCCTTGAATTTTCCAGAGGGAATAATGATTTCTGTAGTTAGGAGGCGTAATCGAACGAAAGCTGATGTCACACTCCAGCATGTGGCTGAATCACAATAACAGGTAGGTGTTGGTATCTAAGTAGATGCCCTTCAACATTTTCTGACTAAGCGGAAAGCATCCACTAATTTTGATAAACTTGAAGGTAATTAAAATATAGCCGAAATTCTCTTTTCTAAACGTTTAGTTGATCCAAATTCTGTTATTTTGCAGACATTGAGGCCTTCAACGTTGGAGAAACTAGGAAATTTTATTACTTTCATGTTCCTTTTGATTGTGCTCGCATTCCTTGTTCTTTGATCATGCTTTCATCATACTTAATACAAAATACATATATAGATAAAATATCAAGTACAATACAACTGGTTAAACGACAATAGAACCACTCTCATGGCAGAAACGTATGACAATCAATACAAATTATAATGTGAATCATCAAAAACTCATAGTTTTTCGGTTCACACAATGTATATAAACATAAATGTAGTACTTCCAAAGGTAAAGCTCTTCGTGGTTCAACTTGAAATCCACTAAAGAAGCAATATACTGTATACTAATTTAAGGGCTGGAGGTAGAATGGGATGGGTTCTGTTTGGGGTTGGGGATGTCTTCTGGAATGGTGGGAAATGTAGGCAATGTGGGGTTCGGCAATTCAAGAACAGGATGCTCAGGTATCTCTGGAAATGGTGGCAACTCCGCATGGGGAAGTGGTGGAAGCTCATGCAATTCAGGCCTAGGGAGTTCAGGCAGTTCAGGAATAGGATGCTCAGGTATCTCTGGAAATTGTGGCAACTCCACCTGGGGAAGTGGTGGAAGCTGATGCAATTCAGGTATAGGGAGTTCATTCAACTCAGGAACAGGATGCTCAGGTATCTCTGGAAATGGTGGCAACTCCGCATGGGGAAGTGGTGGAAGCTGAGGCAATTCAGGCCTAGGGAGTTCAGGCAGTTCAGGAACAGGATGCTCAGGTATCTCTGGAAATGGTGGCAAC